TTCTTCCTCGTATAAGTCAGTTTTTTTTTTTGAGAATTTACAATTTAGTTGCTACTCTCTTACTATAGTGAATGTTCACTTATAAAATAATCAATATTTAACCCCGTCTAAATAGATAATATGAATAACGAAATTTACTAGAAACAAATCACGTGCTTATTTTACTCGTCGTCACCTCGTTCTATAAAGTATTTTAATTTAATTTCTTCTAGTTAAAAGCCTTGTAAACCTCATTTATTTAGGTTAGACATTTACATAAATCCCATTTACCTCGAATTCTACAAGGAAAAAAGTAGAAAAAAACATAAAAGAAACATAATGAATACTTATTTAGCTAATATCAATTTACAACATTGCTTCTAATTTTTTTATACAATAATGTCCTTAATGTTTCTTTTAAGTTTTAGGATATTTTTTTTATAATAATCAACATTATATTATACTAGTGGAGACACATGTGCTGTGAGTCCACTTTTCTTTTTGGTTACAAAACATTATTAAACTATAAAATATTTTTTTATTAAAAATAATTATAAAAAAAAAATTATGCAACACTTATTATTAAATATTTTTTATTATAAATAATTATTTAAATTTAAAAAATAATTATTAACTAGATTTAGATTAACCAATATTTAAAAGGTAAAAATGAAAATATAACTATCTTAATTTAAAATAACGGTAAAATTGAAAAAAAAATCATATACAACAGAAAAAAAACAAATTTCTTTATATATATATATATGTCTCTTATACNATATATATATATATATATATATATATATATATAGATATATATATATATAGATATATATATATCTTTAGTATAGGGTAAAAAATGAAATTAAAATTGGAATACATATATCAAAAGTTACAAGAAGAAACAAAAATAAATAAATAAAAATATTAAATACGTATCTGGAAGTATTGGAAATAAAGATTCTTTTCCATTTTGGAAGTATTTTAGTGAGTTGTTTGATTCGTAAAAGTTTCGCTACTACTATTTGTTTGTCTACTTGTATATGACAATATAATAAATGTTATGTTGTCTCTTCAAACGTTCACATTCGGAACTGAATTAACGTAGTCTTATGATTTTCGTCTTCTGTTTAATTATTGTCTAAGGAGTGGTAATATTGTGAAATGAACCGATACTCCGATATTTATTATTATCATTAAAAAATAAAAGATGTTTACAATAAAAAATAGGCTTCTGATTTTTATGGTTATATTAAAATATTTTTCTCACATGCCCTTTATATTATTGGATGAGTTTACGTATATCTCGTTTTAAAAAGACCAGGCTAATATGTTTAAATTTAACTCATAAATTATTTAATAATAAATATAATATATAGAAAATGTGTCTAATACTAATTATGCGTATGCTAGTTTGATTAGTAGTTGAGGATCAATTTTGACACATTTGTATGCATGTATTGGAAACTAGACAAATATTAATCAAACTTATAAATTAAGTATATTTATCGGTAAAATATGTTTAATAACTCTTAGACCGTGATTAGACGGATATTAATTAAAAATTCATCTGAAATTTATAAATACTAGTAAAGAGATAGATAATTATTGAAAATTAATTTTTTTTTATCATAATAACTTAAGCAACTAGGTAACCGACTGTAACTAAAAAAAGTAAAGACTTAAATTATCAGACAATTTAAATTTTTTTAAAATTTAGTGTGCAATAAAGTTGATCTCGACTTCAATACATATTTAAGGAGTAACTTTAAGCATGCAGACTTATAATTTGTTTAATGACAGTGGACAAAACTAATTACTTTTTTTTTTAGAATGATATTCTCACTAGAGTCTCATTTGACGTAATGTTATAATTTGTCGTTGTTTTTTCTTTATTAGTAAAAATACATTAATAAAAAACATTTGGTAAAAAATAAATTAATAGAAAACATTTGGGTATAGATATATATATATATATAATATATATATAATATATATATATATATATATATATATATATATATATATATATATATATCATATATATATATATAAAGTGGAAGTGTGTGGCAGTGCGTGGAGGAGAACGAGACCCAACCCCCTGCGGGTGGTCGTGTAGAGAGACGAATTAGATCCGGTGGTTGTTGGACGAAACTGTGATAGTGGCAGGTGGCGAACAACGGCAAAACAGTGAAAAACAGTGGCTAACAGCGTTGAAGAGGACAATCGTGGACAACGACAAACGACACCAGACAAATGTTACGAGGTAGAAACTAGAGCGACATCGATCCATTCTGATACCAAGTTAAGATTGAAATTGTAAAATTTTGAAATCTTGTTAAGGGCTCAACAGATTTAAAGATTCTCTTGTTGCTCAACAACATCATCTTACTCCTCATAAATATCCATCTCATGTAATGCCCCTGCTACAAGTTGATGCCACAGGTCTTATTCTTTCTTCACCTTAAGAAAATTACTCAAATATGGGTCTCGTGAAATTTCACCATAAGCAATATAACATATATAGGTGATTCACTCACATGTAGTTGAAGTTTGTAAAAATGGAGGTATTGAAGGTTGTAGGGGTTGGATTGGGGGGGTGTAGTGTATGTTATCGATGGGTTGTTGATAATTGGTTTTGATTTGGTGGGTTGGAGTAGTGTGGATTGTGTGGTAGTGTTACTTGGTGTGGAGGTAGGTGGGGTGATGTTGAGAGTGATGGGAAAGAAGATGAGGAGGATTGTAGTCGTATGGGGATTGTGGAATGTGGAAAGTAGGGTGATGACATTATGTATGTGCGCGTTGTGTTAGGTTGTTGTTAGGGTGTTTGGAGGAGAGATGGGGTTTGGTGAGTATGAGTTTTTGCTTTTGGTTGAAGGGAGTAGTGGGGGGGTGGTGTGGATTGTAGTGTTTTGGTGAGAGATGGGATTTTGAGTGAGTATGGGTGGATGGAGTTGCTTATTTGGGGTTGAGGTATTTTAGAGTGAGAGGTAAGTGTGTTAGTTGGGGAGAGAGATGGCAGTACTGGATGTAGGTTGGTGGTTTAGGGGTGTGGTTGGAGATGTGTTGGGGGGAGGGAGGGTGTGGGGTTAGGGGGTGTGTGATTAGATGGTATTGGGGGGGTGTGGAGGGTTTGAGGGTTAGTGAAGTGAGGTAGGGGGAGTGTGAAGAGGTTGTGTGCGGTGGGTGTTTTAGGGTGGTTTTGGTGGAGGTGATGTTAGGGTAGGCAGGTTATTTAGTAGGGATTTGGGGGAGAGAGGTTGGGGAGTGGGGGATGTGATGTTTTGTATTATAATGGAGGTAGAGGGGATTGTGAGTGATGTTGTGATGTTAGGGTGGGGGAGAGGTGGAGGTGGTGGTGGGTTGGGTAGGGGGGGAGAGCAGTGTTGGGTGGGGGGTTAGTTGTGGGGTTTGTGGGGGGGTGGTTGGGGGGGGTTGTGTGTGGGATTGGTGTGGGGTGGGGTAGGGTGGGGTTTTTAGTTAGGGGTGGGGTATGTTTGGGGATGGTGGTAGAGTGGGGGTATTTGTGTGTGTGAGGGTTGTTTAGTTTTTGTTTGGTGTTGTGTATTGGTGTTGTTGAGTATTTTTGGGGTTTGTATGGATTTGTTGATTTGTTGTGGTTTTTGTTTGTATGTGTTGGGTAGTTGATTTTTTGGTGTTTTTTTGTGTGTTGTTTTTAGTTTTATGTGGGTTATTATTTTTGTTGTAGTGGGTTTTTTTTTATCTTTTTTTTTTTTTGATTTTTTTTTTTATTTTTGCTTTTATCTTTTTTATGTTTTTTTTTTTTTTTTTATTTTTTTTTTTCGTTTTTTTTCTTTTTTTGTTTATTGTTTTTTTTTTCTTATGTTCTTTGTTTTTTTTCTTTTCTTTTTTTTTTTTGTTTTTTTTCTTTTTTTTTCTTTTTTTTTTTTTTTTTCTACAAACAAATTTCTAGAGACCTTAATCTTGAAATCCGGATAAGGCCTCACCTTATTTTGACTCTCCTTCGTATAAGCTTAAACAATTTTCACAACAACTTAACCAGATTTCAACCACAAACAAATATATATTGTATTCTACGCATTTACACTCTAAATTGAAATCAAAACCAAACAGATCTCAACGAAAGCCAAAAGTAATACATACTAGTTTAGCTGGTTCGTGCAATGAGAAAGAATAGGCGTAAACATGCGAACCTTCACAAATCTGGTCCATAGTGTCTTCAGACCAAATATAGTGCAAAGAGGAAGTCGTGGAGACCAAAGGAGAGGAGTACAAGGCATCAAGGGTGCAGGATTTGGTTGCATTGTGCAAAGGAAAGGAATGAAGCTAAGGAAATGTGTAGGAAGAATGCTTGGAGGTGCAGAGAGAAACACCCTTCATTAGTTATTGTATAACATCGATTGTCACAATCAAAAAATTTAACCTTTGTTAGAAACTATGAATTAAAATAATTACTTCTAAAATATAAAACTAAGCATGTCAGAGTTTCAAGTTTTATCTAGATATTTACCATTTTTCGTAATATCTAGTCGTTGGTATTGATTATTTGTATACGTTATTGTATTTTTCTTATCCACTCTCTCATGCACCATATAAAGATGCCAAACCATCGATTATAAAGACAACATAAGTTAAAATTTGCGTCAACAACTTTATCATTGAAGTGAAATTTGGTAGGAATTCTTAAATGTAACGTGACATTATTATAGCACAGAAAAAAGCAAAATAAGAACCCATTCGAAAAGTCAAGAGATGCTCCAAATTGTTTGGTTCTCCTTTGTTGTATTTTGAGAAGTGTCAAATCCATTATTATTTTTCACAAAATCCATGTGTTCCTGTACCTAACTCTTGGTATATAATTTTTCCATCACCATTTTTGTGCAGAAAAGAAAAGAAAATGTAGCATAAGAAAGAAAGAAAGAAAGAAAACATGATTCCCCCCACTTGGCTTGTGTTTTGGCACCGTATGGAAGCTTCAAAACACCCTTTAAACTAGCCTTCAACATCACAAACTCTCATACACACAACAACTAACACCGAAAAACGTAGTCATTGCAAATCATGGCACATCATAGCCTCACAAATAATGTCCACTACAAATCCATTCAATCATTAGTCTTTTCCTTTCCACACCCTTTTCTTGTAATCTAAGTTTTTTCTTCTTTTTCTTTTAACTTTTCTCAATTTATACCCACTCTCACCCGAGAGAGCTCACAACAAGAAGAAGAAAAGATGACCTCAGTTTGCATATCGCACTGCCTCAACGATGCACGTGACCCACGTGTTCCGGTGAGGGCAACGTACGTGAACCTTTACAAGTGGCCGGAATCGGATGCGGAGTTTGTGAGGTCAGTGAGTTCCAACAGAGAAAAGGGTTCCCATGTGTACGGACACCCGAGGGTGGTGGACAGTATCTCCTGCAGGCAGATGTATCTGAGAAGCTACACCTTCTCCAGGGAAGAAGATAAGGACGGCGACAAAGCTCAGAAATGTTTTGGCGTGAAGAAGAAGAAGAAATGTGAGAACAACAACTCAAAGCCCGAGACTGGGAAAAGAAAGTGCTTCGTTTGGAGTAAGGCTAAGGAGATCTCATGTTCTGCTTTGTCTAGGTTTTTCCGAAGGGTCTTGTTCTGCTCCGCCAGTGTAGATGTTGTCCACGATAAATATTGAATTTTTTATTTTTTTATTTTTAACCAAGTTCTCGATTTCCTTTTTCTTTATATATATATATATACTCTGTTTCTATTTATGATCCAGTGAGAAGAATCTGTTAGTGTATCTTTTTTCACTTTGCTTTCTTTTTATTAACTTTTGTACAAGTGTGCGTTTAATGTAAAATTTTATGTCTTACAGAGAAAGGTTTATGTTAATTTTTACTACTGTTTTTGGTTGTGTCAACTTCTTTTGTGGGCTTATAAAGGAAAATGTATAGTTTCTTAATATTTGGATATCATCAGAGACATAGTTTTTATCCTAGTTCATGTTGGATTTTCAAATTTTAACTATGTTTTCTTGTAATTTTATTTTGTATGATTATTTATCTCGTGGTGTGAGTTGCGTAAATCATTATTCTAAATGAAATGATGAAGCAGACATGTTAGGGTTTCCTTTGTCACGTACTTCCCAATATAGAAAGTTGGTTGTCTTCCACGCTTAGCGGTGTTCACGCCAGTTTTGTCCCTTCGAACATAGAAAATTTTATGAGCCAATTATTATTTAATTTACATTTTCATTTTAGTTTCTCCTCCTTCATTTTCTCAAAACTATGAATCTAAATACGAACAATTTTTACAAAAAAATAATATGATAAGACTATTTGTTTTTTCTTGTAACCTTTTGGGATCCTTGTCCTAAGCTCACTAGGGTTGGATATAGTTAACTTAAAAAATTTAAACTAATTTTACTAAAAACTAATTATACTCGTTAATAATTCAGTTTAAAAATACTGAACTTATTTCATTTTAAGTATAGTTAAGTATGGTTTCAGTTTTTCCAATTCTTTTTTTAATGACAATTTCTCAATCACAATTACGTTTTTCCATTTCCTTTCTCCATCACAATTTTCTTCGGACCTCTCGTTACATCTCGTTTGTCTCGTTCGTTGCCGTTGAAGGCCGCCGCCGTGGAACCTTCCCGTCGAAGGTTTGCTGCCATTGAAGACTCGCTGTCGTCGAAAACTCACCGTCGTCGAAGACTCGTCGTCGTCGAAGACTCGCTATCGTCGAAGGCTTGCCGCTATCGAAGGCTTTGCCGCTCTCTGCCGTCGCCGAACGGTTGAAGGCTCTACCACCATCGTCAAAGGTTCTGAGAACACTTAAAGAGAAGCAAATCTGCAACCAAAGGTACGAATGTTTTTCCCTTTCCCTTTGAAAAGAGATAAATAAAATTGAGTCTTAAAATAAGGTCGTATCAGTTTATTCTTTGGAGGGTGAGTTTACAAGGCCGCTGTGGACTTTTGGTGTGAACCCTAGTCGCGTTGTTGATGTTAATTCCATAATGCATTAATTGTTCGATGTGATTTTATTTTTTTACCTTGGCATATTTGTGTCTTGTTTAGCTTTTGACAGATGAAATCCATGCTCAGTATTTTTTCTTGTGTTGATTCTTACCATCTGATTATTGATATTGACTTCTAAAGTCCTTTCGTATTGAAATGATTTGCGAAATAACTGCATTTTACAAAGAATGTAGGGTTCTTCACAAACATCTTCTTACTTGTATTTAACTTGATTGCTAGGTGTTGTTTAGGGCTAGAATTGACTGAAGAAAAGTTTTCGAGCATATGATTGTGTTGGTTTTCTATAGAAGGAATATATCTTTGGATTTCCTGAAGTAAAGACCATAATTCAGTGGCTTGCAGCTTCCTCAGGTATTTTATATTTTTAGCCATCATTGTATTTAGGTTAATTTTATATCTTTGGGTTCTTGACCCAACAATGTTCTGGTATGACTGCTCTTATTTCAGCAATCTTGAATGGTGGAGGAGCACTGAGGTCAAAATATTTGGGGTGCCATTTGCAGCATAGGCTAAAGGCTTTGTGTCTTTAACCATTGCTGCTAGGTTCAGTGGTTATTGGATTCAGGATGTGTGGTAGGTGACTGAGGTAGTGGCTTTATGCTCTGCAGTCCAAAAAACATTGTTAGGTTCCTGGGTTTGAAACCTAACTATCAATGCTCACAGTAACCAAAAGAACAATGAAAGAATGAATTTTTGTTATTGATACGAAAAGAATGTACACAAATAGCGCTAATGGAGGCCTAATCCCCCTCTTAGCCCTAACGGATGCCTAATTCACCTCTTCTGGCCAAAGTTCAGACTTTACAAAGAATTCACTCAATAATCCTCTACAGAGTTACAAAAGCTCTATTTATAGCAGCTTTGACCCGCTCCCCTATTACAACAAAACTCTCTACACCCTTAATCGTTCGGTACTGCACCCCACACTCTTAACCGTTCGGTGGTTCTTGCTTCCCCCTTTCTACTATTCGGTGGTCCTCGCTTCCCCCTTTCTACCATTCGGTGGCCCTCGCTTCCCCCTTTCTACCGTTCGGTTTCCTGCCTTTATACCATTCGGCTTCTATCTTAAGCCCATTATAACCTATTACTTTGTATCCTCTCAAAAACCAAGAAGTATAAATCTTTGAAAATTTTGCTTATGGGTAGTGCATTTCTATAACCGTAGGTTGTAACAGTTGTAATAATAATATAATAACACCCAAACTTGTGCTTTTACTTCATTTGCTTCTCCACTATTTACGTTGCTTTGCCTATAACAACTCTAAACCAAGTTCCAGGTTTCAAAACAAAGTTATAATTACACTTTACTATTCTACTTTTTTTTTGTTCTTTTACTTTGTAAGGTAAATACTTTTATTTATATTAAAATTGTAATAATTATGATTAACATGTTGATTAATATCGTTCAATGTTTATATTTCTCATTGCACAATAATTATGGTTAACTAATATTTTTTTTTATTTAATTGTTTCTAATTTAAGAGAACATTATAGAACTTCTATATGAAATGAGAAAAAAAGGTTGCATTTTAGTAAATATTTTAATTAGCTTCACAATATAAGTATTTTTATAGTTTAATATATTAAGAGCCTCGATAAAATTCTTCTAAATAGTTGAAATTGGATTTAGTTTCATACATTAAAAAAAGTATGCATTAATATTTCCAGGTTCATAGGAAGTGAAAGAGTAGTGTATTAGGTTGTTTTATGATTTCAATGTGATGTTTTGTGGCTATTTTAACCACTACATCTTGTTTTCTAATTTTCACCTTCTCAGTTAGTGTTCTTTTTGTTGATGGTTTTAAAGGCAGTGAAGAGGATATTTAATATATCTACTGTGAGATCTAATGGGGAGTGGGAAAAGTAAGCTTTTTCTTTCCAATAGTCAAAGAACAAAATTGGTCGCTCTTACCAGCGGAGCTAAGTATGTTTCTTGTAATTGGTCATTCTTTTTAGTGCTATTTCCATGTTATATCAATATGGATATAGCTACTGGATTATTTTTCTTTTACTTCAGATACTGCCTTTGGATATTAGGAAATCTTGCAACATTAACACAGCTATGGAGAGAACTGCGTCCGACTGGACAAGGAAAGAAGAACTGCTTCCATAATACTGATTGAGGGCAATAAATTGGGGATCTAGCTATGGAGAGAACTGGTTCTCATGCCAAGGAAAGAGACTGCTCTCCATAATACTGATGAGGACAATAAATTGGGTCAGCTATTGAAGATGCTATTCTTGAGCTTAACTTGATGAATCTTAGTTCAGTTTAAGAAACTCACTTTAGTAGAAAAGTCATAATTGTCTCTAATTTGTCTCAAATTTGTCCTAGGTGAATAGATAATATTTGTTTAGCTTTAATTGAGAACTGTATTGTTTGTAACGGAGAAACTGTTTTCATCTGTGTTATGTATTCTTTAGGCTTTAGCTTTAATTCTGACACTGAACAATAAATATAACTGAACTGTGAATTAAAAAATCTATTTACTAAATTGTATTGCAGTCAGTTAAACTAAAAAATAGTCCAGTTCAGTTTTTTTGGAACTATTTTTTAGGTCATTCCAGTTTATTTGAACTATTTTATAGTTAACTATAATTGGTTCATAGTCCAGATAGACAGTGCAGTTTGCCCACCCTAGGTATCTGAGTCCAAGTGCCATCAAATCTGCACTCATGACAACAGCTTATACACACGACAACACAGGGTCTCCGCTTCTTGATGCAACGGGAGAAGAAGCCCTCTCCACAACCTGGACTGGTTTATGATGCCACCACACGGGACTACATTGCGTTTTTGTGCTCCCTCAATCACACCTCGACCATCTCAGACTCGTGGTTAAGCATTCCAACACCAATTGTTCCACAAAATTTAATGACCTTGGTACTTGTGATTTTCAACAACAGTTAGATTCTCCTTCATGCCTTGAATATGTGCACATGACATACCAAGCCGATGACTTTCTCGCTTGTCATTGCTTTTCGAGCCTCCCATTATCCTACTCTAACTCAGGTACGACTCTCTGAGAAAAGATTAATCATAACAACAACTAATTCTTGGTTTTTCAAGATAGTTTCTACCATCTTTATATGCTCTACTTCTTTTGATGATGAAATTTTGGATTATTGTCGTAAGCACTTAATTCTCTGAGAAGCAGAGCACATTATTGAAAAAATCTTATCATGAAAGTATAAATTCAGATAAGTCAATTGTAAACATTAAATTATTATATAATTATAATTCTAACGACTAAATTCACTTATAATATATAACTCCTCACACACTTATGGAATCTTGATAGTGGCAAAAATCATTATAACTTAATACTTACAAATTATTTACATTAGGACCAATGCTAGGTTACTCTCATTTCATGCAACTTCTATATTTATATTTTTATCTACATATGACTAATGTCATCAAGTAAGAAAAGTAATTAAATTAGCATAACCCACTTTAAAATCCTTTAAAATAATTTAAATATTGTTAAAATATTATATTTATGATATAAGAATATTATTTGAATCATATGACTTCACCTGAACAAAGTATATCCTAAAAAAAACTCTATAGCTTTCTGCTGTTAGTATTTTCTGAAGTGACCTATACTATTCTCGAATGTTAATATTACTCAAATTGTTATATATGTAATGTATTT